CTCTTTAAAAACATGGGCTTCATTGAGGATCCTTCTTACAGGGCTGCATGGTTGGAGTTCAATTTTTTGGATTAGCTTCATGAAACAGCTGTACTCATTTTTATCAGGTTCATAAATGTGTAAAAATATAATAAAATGAATGAAACACAAATAAAAACATAATTGTTAACATTTATTATTTATTATCCCTATAAAATTGATAGGATCTAGATCAGAATATGATCTATGGAAATATAGTATGAAATGCCCAGAGTTGTTCCCTTTCACAATGTCAAAAAAATCCCTCCGAGAATTCCTGGATATGGATCAACTCCATCACTTCTAAGTTGGGCCAACTCCCAACAGCCATAACATAAAAAGAAAAAAAGAAGATAAAATTATAGGACAGAATTTAAAAGTTATATCTAAATTAAACTGAGCTCCAATGATTCACACTCTGAGCCAGTATCTTCCTATTCTTCTTTTGGCTGCTCCATTTAAGGGATCACCAAAGCGGATGATTTGCCTCCATCCCAGCTTTGACCAATCTGGTATGGAATTATTCTGAGCCGCATAAAGACTTGGCCAAAACTTTTCCTGGGTCCCTGACACAATCCTACTCATTTATCCAGACGTGAGACTGGCACAAGGACTATAGTGGGTTGTGCTACAAAATCAAATTAATTTATTTTTCTCATATTCTCACACCATTCTCACTTATATCAGAGAGACTGGGGTGTCTGTAGAGAGTGGAGAGTCCACAGCTGAGGGGAAGAATAAATAAGTAATATGAGGTAGTTATGTGATCTCTCGGCGAGGACAGGTGAGTGAGGTTAATTGTGTTATTGGAAGACTAATGAGAAGAAACTATTTTATTTGGCAGTTAAAGAGGGCAGGATTCAGCTGTGTAGGCCAAAGCAATGTCAATAAGGTAACCCAATAATATGTTTTCCCCTGGTACTGAGTGCTTACAAGCAAACACCACAGGAGCCAAAAGATTAAATAAAAGAGATAAACGATTTTAAAAACTGATTGTAGACCACTATTGTACGGATTAACAAAACAGTCTGATACAGCTAATTGATTCCCCACTAAAAGGCTGCAATGTCTCAGTATGAACAAGAACCACAATAGATTTCAGCTTATTCAGCCTGCAGTCACGAATGTCATGCCACTGTTGCCTTCAATGTGTCTTTTGTGTCCCTTTTCTCACACATACACTCCCGGAGATGTGTCAGCAACTTCCCCTACTCCTCTGCTGTGCAAGAAGTCGTCCATTGTTGTGGTTGCCTGTTCCTTCATATGAGCCGATCCCTTTATTTTAAACACCACTGAGATTAATAGTAAATGTGTCTCCAAAAGCTATTTTTTCATATCTTGCTGTAATTTATTCATACCTCACAGAAATATGTTCTCTTTCTTACTTGAATTGCTGTAAAATTGTCAGCACACCCATTGTTTAATGTCCCATTTTCTGTTTTATTAATTCAAAATATAAGTTTCACATTCTTCCACTTATTGTATTGCGTGAGCAGTATTACATTTTATACCAGGATTTTCCTTTGGTCTCCAGAAGAAAGCAGAAATGTTCCCAGCTGACAGGAGTGACACCTGGTGTAGTCTTCTGCTGCACAAGCCCATCTGCTTCAAGGTTCGGGGTGCAGGACGCTTGGAAGTAATCAGTAGTTATTGAGTTACCTTCCTATCAGCTTGAAGAAGTCTGGCCATTCTCATCTGTCTCATTTATTTTAAAAAAAGCCTCTATTTTTTGGAAAGCATCACCGTTATTGAACTTCTGTTCAAAATGCCTCAACAGCGACAGCTGCAGGTTATATTGGGCAGGACAATCTGTGTGATTGTGCAGAGAGGAGACCAGCAGGAGCAGGGGTCTCAAACTCCAGCCCTAGAAGGCCACTGTCCTGAAACATTTCCATTCGCCCCTGCTGCAACACACCTGAGTACAATTAGCAGGTCATTAGCGAGAATCTATAGAACTTGAATGCATGCTACAGCAGCTTGTGAGTGAATGAACACAGTGCAATAAAAGTAATTTTAGAAGTACATTTTTCCAAACACTTACATTTATTTAAATTTACTTGAGTAGGATAAGGGGTTGCCACTTCAGTATTCAGTCAAGTTCTATACTCTTGCTAATGATCTACAAATTTTATTCAGGTGTGTTGCAACAGGGACACAT